TATTTTATGTGATAAAAGTTTTATCAATGTCCTTCATTAATTTTCACGCATTTAGAGAAATGTCGTCCTTTTCATCATCCTTATAATACATGTATCTACCTTGTTCAGATATGAAAATTCATTAAGTAAAAATCTTCTTAGAAATATTATAAAATTGACTTTGATTATCTCTGGGATTGTCAGAACTCTCATCTTATTAGTAATTGGAGAGGTTTTCTCTTGTCCTGTTTTTAATAATAGCCTGGCAGGGTTTGAAGTTTCTTACCAAATGTTTTTCCATTTCCATAATAATGGATCCTATTAAGGCTGTTATAAAATCGCTATTTAAAAGGTATGGATAAAATGAAGAGTGACTAAAATAGAATGAGTCCCTGATTATTATTGGTAATTGCGGAGCATGCTGAGATGAGCTTTTGACTACTTACTTCTTGGGCCTTTTCTCTCAGGATTTTCTGTTAAAATTGCAAATTCAGATTTCTCTATTCCTTATGGTAGTCATTCGCCTCCTATTCTAAGTGCTAAAGAATTCTGTAAATTTTGTCAGAAAAAATAAAGAATAGCATTTATTCATTTCATGAAGCAAAGGGTTTGGAAAAATTGGTGAATATGTAGACATAAAAGAATCAAATGTGGTCTTTAAATTTCTAGAGCACCAGGATTTCAGCCTGTTGAACTTACTTATCAACAACCAGCATTAAAGAAGTTAAGAGAAATTGTTAGTTAGACAGATAAGCTGGTGTGATGATAATACAGGCAGGAATCAAGGCGCCCAGCTTTTGTATTTTGAAAGGTGCGGAAACGAAAAAAGATCATATATTCTGAAGTTCTGAGAGCAAGTGTAATACTAGAAAAAAGTGAGAATTACCTAAAATCAAGATAAAGGAATTATTCAAATCAGCTATCCTATAACTTGAAACTATGATTCCATCCTTCCCAGTTCTTGCAGTTACCTCTATATAAATGATTTTCTTTATATTGTGCAATTAATTCTGTGTCCACATCCTAGTTTCTGCTTCCTATGCTTTCCTAGGTAATCTTTTCTTAGCTTTCCATATCCTTGTCCTAATCTAATAGAGTGGACAGACAGAGATGAAGGAGTGACAAAGAAAGGATTTCATGTAATGCAGTGGCAAAAAGCGTATGATCCTTTTAAGAATCCCTTGATTAATATGCCTTTTTATTATACTAATTAATTGTATTTATTCTCTAGAAGATTAAAACCAGAAGAGCAGTAGTGAAGACAAACTGAGAAAAAATTATTCCCCACAAATGAAAAAGATAGGGGTTCACTATCATAATATATAAAGAGCTCTTTCAAATCAATGAGGGGTAAATAAAAGAATATGGTAGATAATGGGACAAAGAACATAACATGAGTGGGCATGTGAAGCATTGTGTGAGACTTCTCTTCTCCTTAGACTTTCAAATAGGAAGGGAAAAAAATATAATTGGTGATTACTCAAATAAATTAAAAGTGACCTTTAATGTGACCATCTACTAAAAATGTTTACAAATGTTCACAGTTAGCATTTGAATTTTACCAGCAATGAAAGTTAATGCAAAGTTTCAATATTCTAGTTGCAGAATTGTTCACAGAGACAACAAAAAGGCTTCAGCAAAGAAAAATGCATTATTATCTAAAGGGCACTGTTAAATTATCTACTCTTACATGGGGATTTTACTATAATTTAGGAGAACTCTGGAAAATGAATAAGCTATGGTGAATTTAGACCACATAAGAAAGATAAAATATTTTTTGTTTCTTCACATACTCTTCACCTATTCTCCATAAAATCCTTCTGACTAAGCCAACTTACAGTTACTGTAATGCTTCAAAATGAATTAGTCTTTCGGGAGGGTAGTATAAAATCACCTTGAGAATACAATATGAATTGTTCTTTTTAAAATATTTTTTATTTATTTTATTTTTGGCTGCATTGGGTCTTCGTTGCTGCGCGTGGGCTTTCTCTAGTTGCGGGGAGCAGGGCTACTCTGTTGCAGTGCGCAGGCTTCTCATTGCGGTGGCTTCTCTTGTTTCGGAGCACGGGCTCTAGGCGCACGGGCTTCAGTAGTTGTGGCTTGCGGGCTCTACAGCGCAGGCTCAGTAGTTGTGGCGCATGGGCTTATAGCTGTGTGGCATGTGGGATCTTCCCGGACCAGGGCTCGAACCCGTGTCCCCTGCATTGGCAGGCGGATTATGAATTTTCTTAAGCAAGTTCTGCTTCAGATTACATTCACAGAGCTGTAGAGAGTATGCTTGTCTGGAGGTAACTAGAAGTTCAGGGTTACTTCTGCAGCACACACAGTGGTTTGGATGTCTGTCCAAAGATTTTCAATATACCCTTTCAATATCTTAACAGTTCACCCACTTCAAATCAAGTCCATCCCATTATTTAAACACAGTAGGAATATGGTAACTGCTTAAATATTAAATTAGTAGTTAAACCAGAAGTCAAGTTCTAATGATGATGGTGGGCTGCTGGCTCTGTCAGGATTCTCCTTCCTGTTCCAGGTAATTAGGGAAGCAGGCAGGTAGTTGTGGAAGAAAAGTGCTTGGAGGAGCATAGGTCTTTGCAGTAAATGCAACAAGCAGTGAAAAATTTCTCTGCAAGCAACTGAAACAATGAAGTGCTATGTATTCTCTGTATATCTATGTAAAAATTATTTCTTTACAGGATAGGAACCATGTGGATAGCTTTGCTTCTTGAGTCTTTTTCTGTAGAGAATAATAACCAGATCAATAAAGAATTTTTATCAGGTAACATTTTTTCTAGTTCTCAGAGAATGTAACTTACCCTTAATGGGAATTTGGAGAATTAGATGTCCTGTGACATCTCCTGATCTGATTGCTACGAACTGTGATGCACTTAGTTTGACATGAGGAGTTTTTTCTATTCTGTCCGTGATCATTTTTGGATTGGTGTTACTCCGTAAGGTTCAAATTCATGACCACGTGAGGCTCCATGACTTTTGGGGTAAAAGTCATGTTATTTTATTAAGAATACTGGCTGCATGAAAATCAGCTTATGACTCTACAGTTTCTGCTTTTTCTCCTTCAATTAAGTAGGTAAGAGATATAAAAAAGAATCATGAAATTAATAAGAAAGGGGTCTTAAAATTTACATGTGAAAGTGCATCTGAATTTATTGACGTATTTTAAGTTATTTGGCATCTATTGAGAGAGACAAAGAATTGACAGTCTAGCAATGTCATGGCAATATTCCAGTATACCTGAAGTATGGTCTAGAAGCTTCTGCTTAGACACTCAAATTTATTTTTAAAAAGCCTTTACCAGGGGAAGCATAAGTCCCCACTCCTTCAGGGTGGGCTGCACATGGTAACTTCCTGGCAAAGAGTACAGTAAGGAAAATGGGAGAAAAAGTAAGTAGCTTTGTAGTGTAGAAGCCTTGACAGTCAGTACCTCAGCCAGGTAATCAAGGTCAACATCAACAGTGATGAATCCCACTGATGGTGTAGACCCTTGATGTGATGTGGTTAAAGTGTTACTTTACCAACATGGCCTTCCTTCCAGAAACACACAATGCTAGTCTAATCATGAGAAAAACATCAGACAAATGACAATTTTAGTAAATTAGAAAAAAAAGACCTTCCATGATGTAACTAAGTGTGAACATGAACACAAATTTATTATCACATCTCAGTTAAGGACAGAATGGCTAAATCTTTCTCACTATTGCTAGAATTGAAATTAAATTGTCAGTTGACATTGACTACTCTTACAAAGGTAAGTAATGTTAGGGGGAAATGGCTTAAAAACAAGCTTAAAACTCCTTATAAATACTAGCACTAGGAAACAGATGAATATCAAAGCATGCTAGATTAATGTAGTAGGTATAAAAATTAAGCCTAGGTCTCCAAAGAGGTAGGTAGTAACAGCCTTGAAAAGGAAACTGCATGATATTTCAGAATAGAATATTGTTATCCTAGTGAGGTTATCTGGTTAATTAGGATGGCTTTTATATCAAATAGGAATCAGGTTATGTCAAACACACACACACACACACACACACACACACACACTTCTGAAACAGGGTTACACACATACGTACAAATCAAAGTACTTGTTGATGGCTTTTTGGTGCTCTTTTATCTACCAGATAACATGGAAACCCTGTAATAGCATAGAAATCTATCAGAGTTTTAGAAGTACAGACTTTCCTAGATTTAATTGTTTTTAAAGAAGAACATTTAACTTGAGGATTTATTTTCCATGTGAAGGCTTGGGGGAAAATATCTGGTCTTAACCCTGTTTATTTTAAATACACAAATTTTTAAAAATCCTTGTCTGATTTAATTGGTTTATAGGAAAGTAGATTATGCACTGGATATGTATTTTATATGGAACAAAATGATTTCTAAGTTCTAGAATGTACTATAAACCCAAAGACCTAAGAAAATTCTATAATACAGATAACCAAGAGCAATGTGCGTTACTGCATTGCATGTTTCTCATAAAATGTAGACAGGTTTCTAGAAGAATGCCTGCATTTGATTGGGTTTTTGTTGTTGTTGTTGTTGTTTCTGCGGTACGCGGGCCTCTCACTGTTGTGGCCTCTCCTGTGCGGACCACAGGCTCCGGACACGCAGGCTCAGCGGCCATGGCTCAGGGGCCCAGCCACTCCGCGGCATGTGGGATCCTCCCGGACCGGGGCACGAACCCGTGTCCCCTGCATTGGCAGGCGGACTCTCAATCACTGCGCCACCAGGGAAGCCCTTGATTGTTTTTAAACTACCCTTTTGCTGGTTTTTTCCTAGACCCTTTCTACAATATGTAGGAGAAACTAATCCACTTATTCTTTACATAATACTGCTCTTGAGGGACAATGTGAGCTCCTTCCATCTATTAATCAGAGTAAACTAAGTGAGTTTATTTTAACAGATGTGCAATGGCAGATACATTCTCAAAACCAAATGTCTTAAGAACTGAAAGGTATGTACTTTACACCTCAAATAAACATCATTCTCTTTTTATATTCTAGTGCACTGACAGGCAGAATTCCCCAGTCACATCACCGGGATCCTCTCCCCTTGCACAGCGAAGAAAGCCACATCCAGACCCTCTCCAGATCCCACATTTAAGCCTGCCACCAGTGCCTCCTCGCCTGGATCTAATTCAGAAAGGCGTAGTTCGGTCTCCCTGTGGCAGCCCAACTGGTTCACCAAAGGTAAATCAATTTTATTAGAAACATAGATAATAATTTTATGTGATGATTATTGATTGCTCAGGTTTTTAAAATTCCGTCACTCATATTTCTTATGCTCTTGTTTATGAACAGCTTTGATGGGTCTCTCATTTCGTTTATAGTGAGTCCACTGTCATATTCCTTGCTTTATTGCTATAACAGTTACATAATTATTCAGAGAGGGCACATGTCTGTAACAGCCCCCTGATTTGCTAAAATAAACAGCAGAGTAAGTATAGTGATTCTGTAAAATGGATTTACAGGGTCATTACATGTATTAAAATAAATTGCATGCTCTTATTAAATGATATTTTACACTCATTTTCATAGTGTCTTGACAAGAAAAATGTTATGAGAGTATATTTGCATAGGGCTTAAGATGTGATAGATTACCACCCAAGTTTCAGGGTGACTCAGAAGAGGGAATTATATGTACCTTTTATACCTGAAGGAATTAATTACAAAGAATTACAGTATTTGCAAACTAATTGCATTACTGTTTAATATTAAAGACATAATTCTATCTGTACATCTAAGCCCACAGTTGTAGTTCTGTGCAGATTTTTTTCCAAATTTGAAAAGGGAATATTTTGCTTTATTAAATATAAGATTTTAAATATTAATCCCATTCGGTAATATGTGTTACGGTCTAAAACTATTTGGAAGCACAGTATTTTAATAGTATTAGACTTTTCTACATTATAATTAACATGGTTTTAAGATCATATTAAGACTTTTTAGGATGTTATTTAGTCAGAATTATGTAAACACACATTTTTTTGCTAATATTTTCAAACAATAAAAGGGCAGATCATTCATCAGATGAACTATGTAAATGAAAATAAAAACTGTGAAAGTCACATAGATTCAGTTCAGGAGCTTATACCTTCATATTTCCACATAAGAATCAGACTGATTTTTTTTTTTTTAAGATCCATAAAACTCAAGTAAGGTCTGTAAATAACGCTGCTCTATTATTTGTGAATTTTCACTATTCTGGTAATAACTGTTAAAGAACCGGAGCACTTTTCCCCCTTGTCACTTGCTCTGTATTATAGAGGTGAACACAAAAATAACAAAACCAACATTTTCAGTCTTCCAAAGAAGTTACAAATCAAGGTGCTCTTTTAAAAAGTAAAACAACAACAACTTTGATGGTTTCTGCTGTTTCTCCTAAATCACAGAAACGTGCAAATAAAATAATTAATGACATTATTATTTTAATGTCAGCCAGTCAAAATCACCATATAATTTTGATATTCTGCTACGCTTCCCTGTAGTCCTTATAATCCTAACATTTGAGTTTACGTATTCATTTTCTACAAAGAAATCTTAATATATTTGAGTTTTTCATTAATATTTTAAACTTTCATTAGTTGGTGATAAAATAAACTCATTAAAAGATGGCACAGGAATCTAATAAAGCCCTACTATGGCTTAGAAAACAAAAGCAATAGTATACTAGTCTGGAAGTCATTTCAGTGCATGGAACCTCTTTTAATGTTTTTCCTCTTGTGTTTCTTTAGTCTTCTCCTTGCATGGTGAGAAAACAAGACAAACCACTCCCAGCACCACCACCTCCCTTAAGAGACCCTCCTCCTCCTCCACCTGAGAGACCTCCCCCAATCCCCCCTGACAATAGACTGAGTCGTCACTTCCTTCACATGGAAAGTGTGCCTTCCAGAGACCAGCCGATGCCTCTGGAAGCCTGGTGTCCTCGGGATGTGCTTGGGACTAATCAGTCAGTGGGATGTCGCCTCCTAGGGGATGCCTCTCCAAAGCCTGGAATCACAGCGAGTTCAAATGTGAATGGAAGGCACAGTAGAATGGGCTCTGACCCAGTGCTTATGCGGAAACACAGACGCCATGATTTGCCTTTAGAAGGAGCCAAGGTAAGAAATACTCAAAGCTGAAGCTAAATAATCTGCTTATAGTCTTCTGATAGGAGGTAGTATAAAAGTTTGAGTGGTGTTTTTTTCGCCTAGTGTGACACTTCCCTGCAGGTCTTTAATTATCTGCAAATTGTAAATAATCAGAAGCTCATTAAAACTTGAACCTAACAGAAGTCAGGAAGAAGGTTCTAAGTAATGATTTAATTTTCATATGAAGACACCAGACAATGTGCCAGAGATTTAGTTCACCTTCCCTTATTTCATCTGCAAATTTTTTTCCTATTAATGTTGTCAATGGGAGAATCAGCAGTCTTTTTTTTTATTTAACTCTCTTACTTCTATCTAATTTGAAAAGAAAGTTGTATGGTTATAGCATATCATCAATCAGTCATTGGAGTTATTGTTGCCTGGGACAGCACACCTTAGGCAGCCAGGTAGAATGAACTTCTCACATACATAAAAATACCAGGTCCAGTTCATTGTTGGAAAGCAAGGTCTTTCTCTATAAAACTGAAAGACTGTCACACATGTTGAGTGCTAACATGAAGGATATTACCACTGTCATTTATATGTACAGAAAAGAATTTAAGCATACAGGGAACCGGAGAGGCAGCAGCAGAAATCATTGAGCTTCAAACCCTCAGTGGGCCCCTGGCAGAGCTGTCCTGTAATGTTTTCTGGTATTTGTGTCAATGATATTTTTGACTCAGATCAGGTCGTCACCATCTTCCTTCAGCTGAAGGAGGCTTTGCCTCTTTTGAAGACTGTAATATTTAAGTGTTCCCATCTCTCTTGATCTTAAGTTGTTATTTTAGGGGAGTAGACTATTCCTTCAAAATAATAGTTTGTAGTTGGTGAGTTAATCAAGAAACAAAGAAGTGTGAAGAATGACATGTACTAAATTCCTGTATGTGTGTACACACATGCGTGCACATGTGTGAAGGAAAACTCTGTATAAGATTTAATTATTAGTGATATTCTAGGGTAGCCAAGATAGCAAGAGTCAAAATTGTCTACTCAGGCATTCAAAACACAGGGGAAGAGTGGTGGTGGTTTGCCGTTAACTCTTTGTTAGTGCCTTGTTGGTACCTGCAGGCTTTCATCTATTATAAATATGAAGATCTGTAAAGGTTTTCTTCAAGGTCATGCAAAGGTGATGTAAATGGAAGAGAAAGCACTTATAAAAGCATTTTTATAATGTTCTCTGAAAATGGGGAGCTTATCTTCAAAAGTATGTTTCTACAACTTAGAATCTTGATCAGAAGGACCTGCCTTTTTTTTCCCAGTGATTTTTTCTTCCCTTTAGTCTCTATTACTTTTCATTCATACATGATCACACTTGCCTTAAGGAGAGTGTTCAGAAGAGCTCCGACATGAATGGTTATATCTTAGCAACATATTACAATTTATTTCCTGAATGGACTTAGAAATACTTAAAATATAATAACTATCTTGGGCAATTCACTGAAGACCTCTTGTTTCAGGGTTCTTCTTAGGTAATACGTTATACAGTCTTAGCACTAAATAAACCTGCCCTTCTAAGCCCTAGAATACAGGCTATTAAGTTTTGTATGGATGGTGGTTGTTTTAAATTGGGGTTATAATTTCTTAGGTTATAGGTATGAAATTTTATTTTTATTATATTAACTATAAGTTATTAGTATTAGTAGTGATTTAAGTTATAAAGATTCCTTTACATGTTTTCTATGTGAACTTTCATGTCTTGATCATTGATACATGTTAATATCCCAGAGAACATTGAGTAAAGTACAAAATTTATGTCTTATTGAAAGCTGAATTTGTTTAGCTCTATCTAAATTAGGCTCATTAAAATTCATGAAGGTCTAATCTCATATGTTGTGTGTATTAGCATTGCAATGCTTATATTCTCAAAGTTAATTTCAAGTTACAACTAGATTAACATTTTTACCAAAATTAGACAGCTGATATTTCTCATTTCAGTATAGTTGTTTGACTTTTAAGGCAGATTATAAAGAAGGATTTATACATAATGTATTAAATGCTATAAAACAGACCATGTCTCCCCTTATTCTCCTCTTTTATTATCTTTTGAAGGAAAAATGGGTCCACTTCAGTAGACCACAAGGTATATCACAACTGACATAAAATAGAAAAAGCCCAATTCCTCTTCTTATTTCACTGTTGGGAGACTTAGAGGCTAGCTTCAACCGATGGAATACTGCGTCCATCTAGGATCCTGTAATTCTCAGTCTCTGCATGATCCTGGGTTGGAGTTTGTTTCTTTCTTTGTTTTTTGTGGTACATGGGCCTCTCACTGTTGTGGCCTTTCCCATTGTGGAGCACAGGCTCCGGACGCGCAGGCTCAGCGGCCATGGCTCACGGGCCTAGCCGCTCCGCGGCATGTGGGATCTTCCCGGACCGGGGCACGAACCCGTGTCCCCTGCATCGGCAGGTGGACTCTCAACCACTGCGCCACTAGGGAAGCCCTGGAGTTTGTTTCTTAACTTACGTCTCTGTAGTTCCTCAATCCAGATTGATTTAATTACATATTTGTAAGCACTTTCTACATACAAGACTCTCCTAGTGTTCAGGATAACCAGAATCCCAATGTTCTCTCCCCTTTCAAATTTAACAAAATGTTTTTATAGAAGAGGAACTGTTTAACTCCTTTAGGCAGAAGTAAAAATGATAAGGCAAACCTGATAGCTGCATTTTAACAAAACTAAAAATCTGATCAACATAGATCCACCAGGCTCTGGAATCAGACCTGAGTTTTACTTCTTGCTCTAGAGTTCCTGGCTTTGTGGATGCAAGCAACTTACTACATCTATGCCCCCAATTCCACTTATTTCCCTTACTTTATGAAATGAAATAATAATAGGACCTAGTTTCTAGGAGAATAGTTACCCTCCAAATATCTAAGCCCCCATACCCCTTGGTTATGGAATAAAACCAAACTAGATGTGGAGTCTTAGTATAAGTTGTAACAGTTCATTTTCATTTAAAATAGTTGTCCTTATTTTTTTTTTAATTTAAAACCAAAATCATTATCTCTTTCTCCCCTTCCTCTCTGCTTTTATTTAGCATAGTGGCTAATGAATACTCAGCAAACACTCAATAACTGGGTTGCTGAGTTATTACAGTTAGGTTGATGACAGAGGGGAAAGAGTATATGCATGCTGGGGTTGGAGGTGGGCAGGGGTAGGGCAGGAAAGGCCTTGGAGGAAGAAGATGTCTATGGTACACTAGGAGCGTAGACAGCTTTTTTAAGGTATTTTTCCAGCACTCGCCTTCAGCCAAAGGTAAAATGTAACTTTCTTGTTTAAAGTAGGATTTTTTACTCTTTTAGAGAAGTAGTCATTTTCTATAGATAGATCACATATTCACAATAAGAGGGAAACAAGGGAGAAGGGTTGAAGAAGAAGGGGAAATGATTTTGATTTAAAAAGACTTGTATATTAATGAAAATGGTAAGTGTTACAATATATTCTCACCCTCCATACCTAGTGTGCAGTCTTTAAAAATTTTTTTTTAAAAATGTTATCATGCGAATAAAGGGTATAGGGATTTAGTTACTTGGAGGCTGATGTGTTATCTTCACATAACCCGTCAGTCTCTCCAAATGTAAGCAAATACATTTCTGTGTCAAAGAGTAACAACTATCGTTCAGACTTGTTTTCATTAAAGGAAATATCTCAAATTAAATATCATCAGCCCATTTTAAAGATAAGAAAACTTAGATGAGTACTAGAAGTTTAACATGAAGTGTACATATGTAACACCATAAGGGGAATTCATGAAACTAAACATTCTATAGAGTGAGGACTTGCTGCCCTTTGTTGTGTGTCCTATGTCAGTGTGCCAGTTCCCATCATCCATTAGAACCATTTGCCCTTTTTATTTGCATCTTTCCTAGATAAATGGTAAGGGAAGCAAGGATAAATTACATTCTGATTACTCTATTTGCTAACTGTAAAGAGCTCTAAGGAAAAAAAGCCCTCTAATTCATAATTAAAATGAAGTGTAAGAATTCTCTGTGACTTTAATTTACTCCCATTACTCTTCTCCCTCCCACCTAGCATAATCAAGTTAACTAAATTAATACTTTACTTTTTAACATGAACCTGAAAGCTAAGAGTTGTTAGGTTTATTTACCTTGTTTTATTTTATTGGTAAGAGATTTCTTTCCTATAGGACTGTTTCCATTCCCTCAAATTCTAGCCACATTATAAACCTGTTCCTTACTTAATACTTTGTTGGCTAGATATTTAGTTATTGTTGTTGGTTTGTTTGTTTTAATTATTTTATTGCACGAAAATGTTTTAAAATATCATTGGAGACTTGAAATGTATCTCCTTATATCTAGATACTAACACTGTGTCCAACTATCTTTATTTGTTCCTCTTAAAAGATTAAGAATGCTACTGTTTCCTATGTGACAGAAACGATCTCTGACTTATGTTACTTCAAGTGACATTATTCTAAAATGACCTTGTGTACAGTAACCTCTTGAAGATGTTGCTAGATAAATACATAGAATGATTCCTCTTTTTGAGATTGTGGCTTTTGCTATTTTGGTGGAGAGGCACATGTTTATAAGAATGAACTTAAACTTATCTGTGAATCTCAGGTGCTGTCTTTCAGAAAATAAGTCCTCTGTGTACACAGGTTTCATTTTTAATGTAATGTTTCTGAAGGATAAATTACAGTGATATTTTTGGTGTAGTGTATGTGTGCTCTTACATGTGTGGGATGGGGGAAGGGGGTTGTGTTTGGGGTTTTATAATTAAAAAGGTTTTTCTTAATTGTGCTAAGATTATCACAATTGTGTTTGTTTTCCCTACATCTCAAGGGTCCCAAATGCTTTAACATTAAATTTTAGACAATATCTGAATCATAGGAAGATATTTCAAACTTAAAAATTAGGATGAAATGTTATCTTGAGGCATGTGAAAAATATTAATACAGGGTAACCTAGAGTAACCTAGAGTTTATAATAAATTTTGTGATAACTCAGATTATACTTTTTCCACAGGTAGTATAAATTCCCCTTAATGTATTCTTATTCCTTCAGCCTCTTTCAGTTAAACGAGTAGGATGTTCAAGACACTGTGGCGAATACAAAATGAATCAAGCACAGTCTAGTGAGGATGAGACAGGTATATAATTAAGGGATGAGGCATAGGCGAAGCATCCAGAATATATAATGTGGGATGCCCTGGGGGGAGAAACATTCCAATTGAGATGCAGGGTAAAAGAAGGAATAAAGAAAGCTTCGTGCAAGACGGATCTGTAGACATTAGAAGATCAGTAGGTAGGGCTTCCTTAGTGGCGCAGAGGTTGAGAGTCTGCCTGCCGATGCAGGGGACACGGGTTCGTGCCCCGGTCCGGGAAGATCCCACATGCCACGGAGCGGCTGGGCCCGTGAGCCATGGCCGCTGAGCCTGAGCGTCCGGAGCCTGTGCTCTGCAACGGGAGAGGCCACAACAGTGAGAGGCCCGCGTACCGGAAAAAAAAAAAAAGATCAGTAGGTGGTGGTGTTGTAGACATGACAGGAAGGAATAGCATGGAGGTGGGAAGGTAAGCACAGTGCAGGAAGTCAATTTTGGACAGACTCTAGGGCATACAGAGAGAGTAAGTACGGTAGGTAAAACTATGGCAATATAAACTGAAAGCAGTTACGGAGTGGAGTGTCTCATATTCTATACCAAGTTATCTTTAACTTGGTAGACAGAAAAGAGCTTTGAAAACTTTTTTGGTAGAGGAACGATAGGATCAGAATATTTAAGTTGGTAGCATGTCCAATGGAATTGTGGTAAATTTGCAACAGTGAACTAGGAAGGCAGAAGAAAAAGATGTTTCCTTAGTTGAGAGTTTAAGAAGGCCTGAATCCGTGAGATTTCAGTGTGAACTGCTTCAGTTGATACTATCAATCTACACATTTGAGGAACTACTGTTTTCTCCTATTTGCAAAAGGCTTTGCAGATTTCCAGAGGACGTAAAATATTTATTTTTGGCTCAAAAAGTTGTGACTTACTGCAGTCTCTAAAGTAGTTTTAGATAAAATGATTTTGTCTAATGAAACGGATGCAGGTGGGAACATGGAATTCAGAATGAAATAATCATAAATCTTGTCATCCAGTCGCTTTAGATGAACAGAAACATGAACGTCATTTTAGTACCTGCATTTTTAGGTCCTTTACAAACATGTATGTATGCACATATGTAGTATAATGTAAGTCAGTCAGCAGTCAATGTTCATTTGAGCCCTACTGTGTGTAAAGCATTGAAGGAATGTCCTATAAAATGAGGAAATCAGAGTCTTTGTCCTGAAAAAGATTCACGTAGAACTAATACAACAGAAATTGTTATTCCCATAGCTCCCTTTTATTTTATAATTGCTGAAATTTTACTAAGTATCAACAGTGCATTAGATACTTGCTCCTATTAAAACAAATAATTGCATATAAATCCATATTACATTTCCCAGAATGAATTTTAAATGTGTTTATGACAGAAACATCAAGGAGATTTGATTGCAGAAATCATACATTGTATCCATTCTGGCAACAATTGCACAGGACTCAAATTAAGGATGACTTTATATGCCCATTATACAATGAGCACTTGTGATTTGACACATGTATTTGTTGGTTAAAAGGGATTTTTTTATGTTAGAGGTTTTCATTGAACTGTACAATAATTAATATCTACTGAGACATTTCTTTTCTCTAGCAAAATTGAAAAAACTCTGCCTTGTTCTGTTATTTGGTCCATAGTCAGAAACCCTAAGAGATATTTTTGTCATAGTGTATCTCTAGTGTATTGAATCTCATGAGGAATCAAAGCTATAGCACAGGACTTGTTTTTAGAGTGATACTTTAATGCTATAAAATTTATATTTTGTTGCTTTAAATTGCAAACATTGATATATTTCAAATGGATTCTTTAAACATGTTCCTTTTCTTAAGTTGCTAGGGAAGGGTATGGCCTTTTCCATTTTGCACTCTAAAGCTTCAACACCATTTTAGAACTGAGGGGTGAAAAAAGAATGGGTAGGTCATTGATTGGGTTACCTAGAACTATTCAAGTTACATCACGTCCTTTTTGCCACAAATCAGCCTACACCTCTTAAATATGAACTAGTAAAGAGTTTGGGAAAAAGCTTCATGTTAAAACCCTAATGATTAAAGGTCTTAAAATATGTTTAATCTGTCTTTGCAAAGTTACTCTTTTTTTCTTTTAAGTTGCTTTCATTTCAAGTTGTTGGATTAGTTAAGAGCAGTTGTTAGACAGTTCCCATATGTAACTGAGCAATCTGGAAACCAGAATTTCTGAATTCTGAGTAAACACTGGCTCTCTATGGTACCTTATGAGCAAGGTAACAATTTTGGTTTGTGTTGTTCACACACCAAAAATTATATTTAAAATTGCTTGCACTCTGAAAGCCAGACCAGGTCTCTAGTTGCCAGTAGTGCTAAAGCTTCGGCCTTGAAAGAACAAAGGCGTTTCTGATTATACTCATGCATTGTTTTATCAAGAAGTTTAGAAATGTTCTGTTAACCCCAGAGAGATATAATTTAGAACACTTTTATTTGGGAGGAATTGAAATAAGAATTGCACGAGTGCTGCTTTTTTCTTTATTGAATCCTTACAGAGAATGCTAGCTTTTCAATAAAAACTGATCATGTTTGGGGACTTTTACTATTTACCTAGCTATCTATATGATTTATAGAAATTATAGCATCTCCTCTCAATATAAGAGAGTTGAATCAGGTTGTATTTTATTTTTTCACATAAAAAATGGTGCTACTTTCGGGTGGTGGTAAATAATCACGATGGTGCTCCTAAGTAAATTATATGATATTTCACTTGTTCAAATAAACTGAAATTATATATTCTCTTCAAAATTATAGATTGTCTAAGAACTGTTGCTGTTTTAAGGTCCTCCAGAAGTTAAATTCTAAACTAACCCTTTGATTTCCTTTCAGGTCTTTTCCAATGGTCACCTGGGAAGTGAAGAATATGATGTTCCTCCCCGGCTTTCTCCTCCCCCTCCAGCTGCCACCCTTCTCCCCAGCATCAAGTGAGTTTTACTGAATTTGGAGATCAACTGTCCATGCATAAAGTTGTTATAAAGAGTGGTTTTGAGGTTCTTAGTACAGAAAGTACAGGGGTGAATATGCATCAATAAAAATGAACCAGCTGGATTTTTAAAGTACCAGAAATCGAGATCCTTTCTGATTCTTTGCTGATAACTACAGCATTTTTGAGACTTACCTACGCTCTGAGATTACACATAAAGCAACAGAGAAAAAGCTAAGTCTTCCCTGCATCCAATAAGAGGCTCAAGTAGCACAATGAGCTCTCCTTTCCAATTCATGTCTCTTCCTTAGAGGTATCACATTTATCCCACTACCCAGTTTGACATGATAAAATAATCTTTGGTTCCTCCAGTGTTCTCATTTCTCAAATCCATTCTGCCACTAAGTCCTGTTGATTGTTCTTTTAAAGTTTTTCATATTCAGCTAATCTTCCCCATTGCCCTAGTTCTGGCTTATAACGGGACAACTGAAAGAGCCTTCTACCTGATCATATGATATGATCTCAGAATGGAATATCAATGGATTTTAAAGCTAGAAAAATGAGTTAAACTAGGTGTCTCATTTGAAAAAATGGGGACACAAGAAGCGTATCAGACAGATAAGGGATAGTGTCTATCCAAATCAAACCTGGATAAAACCGTCTCCTGATGGCCATTTCCCTACTGTATATTAAATCAGGCTGCCTGTCTTTCCTCCAGTATATTTTATTCAGGTAGCTGATTTAATTTAAATTCTGCTTTCCCCAGATCACTTTCCTCCTCAAAGCCCAACATTGTTCTTTCTTTCCTTCTAAATTAATTCTGTGCTCTCCTGCTATATCAGTAAGATCCACAGAATTTTACCCAATTAAAATATCATTCAGGAATTCTAATGCTTGTCCTCTAATCTTGTCTTGATTTTTTTTCCTGGTTTTATGAGTCTTTCATGCTGTTCTCTCCTGTGCACCAAGTTTTCAGAATCTTTATTCTGAAGACCCATGTCTTAGCCTCTATTTCTGTATGAAAACTTCTGTGACTTCAGTCATAATGATGGTAGTAAGACTGATTCTCATTCCTCCTCCTAGAGTTTATTTTCTACACATTTAATTATGTACTTTGCGCTACTGTTTTCTAATACTAAAGTGCCTCTCCACATTAAAAAGATTATAAGGTTTTAAGGGCAAAAACCTTTTCTCGTAATCTCTGCTTCTCCCTTAACACCTTACTGTTTGCTGTTTAATGAGTATACTGATAGTACTTGGTCTGTCTCTTGGTGGATTGACTTTATCATCTGCTAAGATCCTCATTTCTAACTGAAAGTCTTAGAGCATCTTCACTCCTTCCTCTGCTGGTCACTGGATGCAAAAGAACGATAAGCTAGATACCAGCTCCCAAGAAATTTACCATCTACTTTAAAATAAAGTTAACGTACATGAAATCACAAGAGAACATTATGCACTAAACTGTATGCATCTAACTTGTTAGTTTTTATATAAGCTTGGAGAATAGACTATTATAGACTTTGTAAGGCAAGGATGTCTTATAGAGAAGATGGAAATTTCCTGAGTCATGGAGGATGGGCACAATTGGGAAGGGGCGCATGAGAAAAAGCATGAGTATGAAATTTGACATCATTTAGGGTGCAGTGGGAAACTAAGCATTGGACCATTCTTTAGTGGCCACTTTTCTTGGAGCTGGCAGATATGTAGCAGACATAGAAGTTAGAAGCAAATATATATATTCTGTGTAGTAGGTTGTACATCAGTAATAACATATTGATATTGTAGCACCAAATGAACTCTGGATATTTGTATATGTGATGAAAACATCTAAGCTCAATTACCTCTAATTCAGAAAACATCAGAAAACGAAGTACATGAAATCTTGCTAATTAGAGATTAAAATTTTACATTGTTTATTAAATTCATATTGGCAAGTGGGATAAAAGGCAGAGGTCACCATTTGCTTCATCTATATTTAGTATTAAGTGCTTGTTTTTCTATAAAGAACAACAAATTCATAGTAAAATGCCTTTTATTGATATTTTTCTAACACTTTAGTTTGTATGTGTACCTGGATATACTTTCACCCCATTTACTCTTGATTATTTTCCCTCAAACAATGCACTTGCTTTACTTAACCAGAGAAATACTTTAACAATGCATCCTTAACAGCAAATTAGTTTTCTATTTTGCATGCTGCAAATTAACCATAGTTAAAGTTACAAGTGCTGGCTTTTAATGGCATGTTTATCTCTCCATTTTGTTTTTTATTCTGACATATAGGTAGCAGTTGGTCATTGTAGAAAATATGGAAAATATATAAAAGAAAAAAATTAAATAAATATAAGCATTTACATACCCCAAATATCAATGACCAGAGTTTTTGTTTTGTTTTGTTTTTCTTGAATTTTTGAATTTTATTTTATTTTTTTATACAGCAGGTTCTTCTTAGTCATCCATTTTACACACATCAGTGTATACATGTCAATCCCAATCGCCCAATTCAGCACACCACCATCCCCACCCCCGCTGCGGCTTTCCCCTATTGGTGTCCATATGTTTGTTCTCTACATCTGTGTCTCTATTTCCACCCTTTCAAACCGGTTCATCTATACCATTTTTCTAGGTTCCACATATATGCGTTAATATACGATATTTGTTTTTCTCTTTCTGACTTACTTCACTCTGTATGACAGTCTCTAGATCCATCCACATCTCTACAAATGACCCAATTTCGTTCCTTTTTATGGCTGAGTAATATTCCATTGTATATATGTACAACATCATCTTTATCCATTCATCTGTCGATGGGCATTTAGGTTGCTTCCATGACCTGGCTATTGTAAATAGTGCTGCAATGAACATTGGGGTGCATGTATCTTTTTGAATTATGGTTTTCTCTGGATATATGCCCAGTAGTGGGATTGCTGGGTCATATCATAATTCTATTTTTAGTTTTTTAAGGAACCTCCATAACAGTTCTCCATAGTGGCTGTATCAATTTACATTCCCACCAACAGTGCAAGAGGGTTCCCTTTTCTCCACACCCTCTCCAGCATTTGTTGTTTGTAGATTTTCTGATGATGCCCATTCTAACTGGGGTGAGGTGATACCTCATTGTAGTTTTGATTTGCAATTCTCTAATAATTAGTGACATTGAGCAGCTTTTCATGTGCTTCTAGGCCATCTGTATGTCTTCTTTGGAAAAATATCTATTTAGGTCTTCTGCCCATTTTTGGATTGGGTTGTCTGTTTTTTTAATATTGAGCTGCATGAGCTGTTTATATATTTTGCAGATTAATCCTTTGTCCGTTGATTTGTTTGCAAATATTTTCTCCCATTCTGAGGGTTGTCTTTTCATCTTGTTTATGGTTTCCTTTGCTGTGCAAAAGCTTTGAAGTTTCGTTAGGTCCCACCTGTTTATTTTTGTGTTTATGTCCATTACATTAGGAGGTGGATCAAAAAAGATCTTGCTGTGCTTTATGTCAAAGAGTGTTCTTCCTATGTTTTCCTCCAAGAGTTTTATAGTGTCTGGTCTTACATTTAGGTCTCTAATCCATTTTGAGTTTATTTTTATGTATGGTGTTAGGGAGTGTTCTGATTCCATTCTTTTACATGTAGCTGTCCAGTTTTCCCCCAGAGCTTTAACATTCTGACTTGTTTTTCTTTTTAGCCTTTTTTTTTTTAACATGATTTAGATTACATTGTAGAGATAATTTCATGCTCTCCTTTGTCACTTAATATTTTAATAAGCATTTTTCTTAATCATTTATGCTGTACTACATTTATCATGGAACCAGCATGGAATTCTGAAGTGACCATTAAAATAAAATCAGACTTGGTCCCAGACGTGACTCCGGTATTAATATTTGTCTGTCTTTGAACAAGGTAACTTCTGTGGGCCTCACTCCATCTGATAAATGAAGGGATCTGTTTATCTTAAATGATCTCTAAAATCCTCTTGAGCTTCAACCTTTTAGGTTCCATGCAACGTTTTTTTAAGGGGTATTCATCTGTAGTATTAATTACATATGAATACTTGGCAACTTGAATGCTCATTTATAGTTGGTTGGTTGCATCCCATTTTTGAAGCCAGTATAACTTGGATTACTGCTCTGGGTTTTTTGTTTGTTTGTTTTCTTGTTTTGTCTACTTCAGCTTCATTAGAGTGTATAACCAGAGTACAATGAGAATAGATCTTCAGCTCTGGAGAGGCATAGAATACAGGTCTTAGCAAAATGTCACTCAGGGAAACAGGGATGTTGGATGTTCAAGTATATTGTTTCCGTGTCAGCATCTTAGTACATGTTTCAAAATTAGGCCAAAACAAAATAACAGATTGCTACCCAACATAGACTTTGATAGTTCTCACAAATGTTGAGAGCCCCAGTGTTGAATTCAGTAATGTCAAAGCTAATATTTACCTTTAAAGCTATACTGTGTTGTTATTAATATTTACTGAAGTATAATTGTTAAATTATTTGATGTTACTCTGATTCCCATTAAATTGATGGAAGAGGCTACTCTGTGATAGTGTTTTCTTTCTTGTAAAACAGTATGACTGCAATTATATGACTTTTATTGTGTAATTTATCTGGAGGCCTAGAAGAATATAGAATTTATTTTAAAAGCATATTCTGTCATAAAAGTAAGCTGAAACTGTACTAGTGCATATAGGTTTACTTATTTTTTTTCCCAAATGGTTTCTACTTAAGGTGATTGACACTTAGCTATAAATATAAATTCTTAAAAGCTTGAAGTATGGGTAATCATAATTTTTTTAGGGGAAGAATGAAAAAATCTATATGGATTATTTTTATTGTAGTGTCAAATTTTACTAAATTATATTTATCTTGAAATAATTTGATTTTTCAAAATTAAATGAAACCTGAAACAGTTAAAAATACTTATTTTACTTAACACAAGATGTTGGCCAATAAGCAAAGGAATTACTGTAATAATGGAATAATTACTTCAGGTAAGATAATGTTCTGGAATGCT